TGAGTGGGTTAAGATGCTTAACTTTTCGAGAGTTTTCTTAACTTTTTAGTTTGAATTTTTGTTTTGAATAATTTTGCAAAAATTTTCGAAGTCGTGTCCGTTAAAATCAACAATTTTTTACATGAATTATATTTCATTCCATACTTTAAATGCCAGGACGCTTTCAATTAATGTCTAGTCTACCCATTTGCTATATTTTCTCGTTTGTTTTACTAATTTTGACCAATTAATAAGCATGTTTTTGTTTTAGAAATTGATATTCAAATTCCCCGCCATATTTTCATAATTTGGTGCATGCGCAGACGTTTTTCCGCGGTGTTGCCTCTAGTCACTTGCTAAGCTATGCGCAGTACGGCATGCGCAGTGACGAAGCCCTTACGCTTTTTTGACTGAAGTCGGACATCTGGTCCTTTTAATCTGTGGTGTGACTTCATTGACTGCCGTTCTTGATTTCAAGCAACAAGTGCTGACGCCATTATTCGCCATCCACAACCGCTCGTTTGACTTCAGGTTGGCGTCCGTGTTGCCAAAAATGTCGTTTGCTTAATACGTCTAACAAGACGCCTACTCAGGCGTTCACTCCGGGTACAGGGCCTTAATTACACTGGCCTGTAGGCCAAGTGTCTTAAGTCCCTCTTTTTCTGTGTTAGGTCATCGCAGGCTCAGGATGCAACGTGCTCCAGTGGCATATTCAGTTCAGTTTCAAAATGGCTGCTTTTCACTGAGCGATCTAATATATTTCACACAGTTTCGTTGAATTTTCAAAGAATTGTGCCGGTTTCCTATGGATTTTACGTTGTGTCGCACTCTGGCCTTTCTTGCGTGTTGAATTAGTGTGTTTTTCTTTGTGTAACGGCTCGAAAACTCCAAAATTTGAACCCAGCGAATTTATACAATATGGTAGAATATAAACAAGAACAAGTTAAACGTTTGACAGTTTGACTTTTTAATTAACAAGTATAAATATACGTTGTAGGCTCATAAACATGCGTTGTGCTCTGATTTGTATTCATTTGCATCATTATCAATTTGCACCTAATTACATTAATTTGCACCAAATTACTTTCCAATTCATCATATATTACTATAAAATGTATGTTTTCGATTGTCTTCAGCGAGGTGGCATTGCGTGCGGAGCGGCGAAGTGAAATGTGGTACTGTTCGATTGGTTTTTGGAACAAGATCCAACTCCCCCCCCCACTTTCTTAATTCTCAAATTGTTTATTAGATGTTTACTGGTTGTGGTTAGAGAAGGGCTTGAGGTTGGGATCAGTTTATCTTATAAATGGAAGCAAATTGGCATACTTTTTAGAAGAATTGTCTATGTCTATGAAAGAGTCTCTTTAGCACCTGAAACGAGCCATATAATGGCATTAAAAATCAAGGACTATATAATTTCTTCGCTATTATTGGCCCATCATCATTTCCGGTTGATAGTTGATGATCAGTTACAGTGGGTCTGGCTTGCCAGGTTGATTTGCCCATAGCCGGAGGGTACGCCTGAGCCGGCGTCTTGGTATATTATGGTTGATAGTTGCTGATCATGAATGTATTTATTGGTTGTATTTATATGGTCCAGACCTCCTGTATCCCTATCTACTTCTCTACTACACATTACACCATACCACGAAAATTGCCATTTTCAGGCCAGTGTTAACGCCTGAGCAGGCGTCTTGTTTAACTATAAGCGCAAAGCTACTTTAACGTATATGCTTATATATTTGCTTATATATAGCAATGAAGGTATCTTTAATGCATGATATTTGGCATATTAAAGTTGGAAAAATGGGAGATCTACAGTGTGACCACTTCACAAAGTGACTCAAAACATATGAAGACACAATGATCATATTATTTTATAACATAAAAATAAAAGGACATTGTGACACTGATTATCTCTATCTTTAAGTTCTATTAGTTAACATGCACAACTCGACGTTAGCGAACGAATATTCAGTTATGTTAATAATGTACATTGGATCGCCACCAACCTATATGAACATGGCTTTGTGATTGGTTGATCATAACAATAAAAGACAATGAACTATAGAAATTATCTTACTTATCTTTCTAAAGAACGAGGCATAAACACTGATCACAAAACACGACATTTTAGATTGGTATTGTATTTACTCGACTATTTATGCAAATACACGTGTTTTTTAAATCATTTCAACCGTAGCCATGGTAGACGATTTACATGTGATTGCAACCGCTCTGCAGTGTTTAGCAATTTTGTGTAACATTTTATTCTCCGTGCATATACTTGTGCTGTAGAGGCATTAAAAAGATATAGCAGGTTAAATAACGAAATAAACCATGCACTGTTAACCGCGAGTTATTACTTGAAAACTTTGAAAGTTTCTGCAAATTATTATTCCTGATAACAGCATGCCCGCGGCCCCCAAACAAACATCCCAAGGGCACGTATGGAAGGAGTATTGTTTCCCAATCTTGTGTGTTCGGTTCGGCGTTCATGCAATGGTCGCGACTTTTTCAATGAAAGAGAGCAATTTCTGTTTTGGAATTTAACGGGGAAAGTGTCGAATCCTTTCTACAGATTGTACGTGATGTACGCCCAACAGTTTACTCGCAAACGAGGAGAGGAAATAGAAGACAGATTCACTATCCTTATACTTTCCGATCCCTAGCTTTACTGAGTGAATTAACCATGCATTTTAAACGCCAGTCTGTACTATTATTCCTGGTACAAACATGCGCCCAATCTAATAACCCAAAGTTAAAGAGAGCTAACTTTCCTTTCTGTAAATATAATTGCATTGTGAAAGGACACTTCAAGTTGCTCAGGCTTACCTAATTATGCGCCACGTACTTTAGATTTGTGTAAACAAATTATTATGAGGCCAGTCTTCGGTTGACGAATTGACATTAATTAGTTATGTGTGGATGTCCCAACAAAAAATGATACTACAGTATAGAAATTATCCTATTGTTGTTAATAACTGGTAATTAAAAATTCAATTCAATTGTGTTTACGCACTCTTGTTTTTTCATGGCAGACATTCAAATTATAGTCTTGACGATTAGAATATATTAGTTTACTCACTAGACGAAAATTCATAATGTACTGTCTCGACCAACCAGCAAGCCTGGTTTTAAGAGTTTCGACACATACGTACGTTTGTTTTGGAACGTCATATGATGATCGTATACGTTTAGCTGACGAAAATTTATAATTTTTCGTCTCGACCAATAAGCAAGCGAGTTTAAGCGCGTTTGTCGTTCAGTTAATGAGGCTATAATTCGTACGCTTTCGTTCAGTTGTGCATGTTAACTATTTAAAACATGCGTAGGAGTGTTTTATCGAGTCGTATATAAAAAGTCGGAGGTCGTAATTTACAAATATTTTATGGCTTTTTTATTGTCTAGGGTGGAAATTGGAGAGCGAAAAGCTTGAGGGTACATTTTAATAATTTAACAAAATAATAATTTTAGCTCGTGTTCATTTACTTTACTTTTAATTTTTAGCTCTTATTTTTATATGCAATTATTAATTTTTTATATGCGATTACTTTTTATATGATAAAATATTACCACATAAAAATAGACATGCCGATTAAAAGCTGCAGTCGAGATAGTTTCAAACGGGCGTGGTGCATTATCTGCCTTGTCTCGGATTGCATGTCGCAAATTATTGTATTGTCTATTCACTATATGGTCTATTGAATCAGAGTAATCAGGACTTGTTTACACATTGCCATTGCCATTACCATTGCCGATATGGTTGCTGATAAGTCCATGTCACAACATTAAGCAAATTATTTTGCCCGCAAATTTCTACCCTCGACGATAAAAACCATAAAATATTTTAGAAATACGACCGCGGACTTTTTATATATGACCCTCGACTTTTTAATGTGACCCTCGACTTTTTATATATGATTTTCGACCCTCGACTTCCCACACTCGACCCTCGAGAAGAAATCCTGAAACTGAATTACTAAAACTAGCTAACGTAAAAAACCACATTTATCAAACACGCAAAGAAAATTATTTAAAAAGAAATATATTGTTAGTTGTGTCATATAGTTAATTATCAACACTTTTTCAATGCAAGGCAGTAAGTTCATAAGACACTATAACTCATGCATAAGGTTGATATTTTGTTTATACAGATTGATTATTAATTGTTTTAATTTGTAAGGCTTCGTGTAAGTTATGTAACGCTGAAAGTTTGTTATTATCAAACGTTTAGATTGTTTTAACCATCCTAGTAATAATTTTACTTTAAAACCAAGACAATGCAGCTGTCGAGAGCGATTTTTAATACTCTATATATAAATAAAACATTAAACTGTCAACTGTGTAATATAGACGTAATAGTGTTGGGTAAAGCAATCTAGTTTTATATATTTAATATGCGCTTTTGTCTAACTGAAGCGTGGTAGACAATATTGCCAATATTGTTGTTGTTTGCGATATAAATTGCCTCGCGAATCGAAGAGTTTCAGATATGTCATATGTCGAATAGATTTGTGCGTTGTCAATGTAGTTCAATTTTGGCCACGAGGCACAAAGGGAGACTTAAAGAACACGAGTGACGAGTGTTAACACAATTTAACTACGTACAAAATTAACTGGATACAGGCTAACGGACCAAGCCATTTGTCGATCAGAACTAGCTTTGTAATAACGGCAACCGCTACTGAACACGCGAGAAAGTCTCGAATTTCGATTTGTATTAAGAACTGTGGTCACTGTATAAAAACCAGTGTTATGAGAACCGCTCCATTTAATAATATTTACTGTAAATACAACAAAATACATTGTAAACACATCGCTCGCTCCGACCTTCTACGGAATGGCGGCTATTTTTAGATATTTCGTAATTTTTGTAGTGCGTTGCGTGCGGTGCACTGTGGAAGTGCACACTTGTGTCGCCTAAGAAAAAAGATCTGACATTTTAATACTCCGGTACTTACAGTACCCGGAGTAATAAGCTCTCGATTATTGCCTGAGATACATAAAGCTTTTATTACCAATAATGTGAGCTCCAAGATTCAATTCTGCCTCCACAAATTGTTTCATATTAACGACTCCAACCTAACAGAACGGGATTGAATAGAAAAGCGTGAAATGGAGTATAATAAAAAACGAAATAAAATAATAAAAATAAATGAACAAGTTGCTGGAACAGAGGACAAGCAAGACTGAAATGATGGATGGATTTATTGTAATAAGATCAATATATCAAGCACTCTCAAATGTGATTGACGTTAATCAAACAACTGCATACCATAATTGATCTAATACCCCCCACCCAGCCCCCGTTCCCCTACTCCTTGGCGTGAACAAGTTGCTGGAACAGAGTATAAGCAATACTGAAAGGATGAATGGATGCAGTGTATAAAATAAGATCAATATATCAAGCATTCTCAAATGTGACTGACGTTAATCAGAAAACTGCATTCCATAATTTATTGTAATGATCTAATAACTGCCCCCCCCCCAACTCCTAGGCGTATATTTATACGGTAAAAGGCATTTATTAGACAGGGAGTTTATTCTTACATAAGACAGTTTTACGCTTCTTACAAGAACACACTCAAGACTCTTACACTTAAATTTACAGTTCCTACACTGCATTACAGCATACTGTATAAATGTTCCAACATTAACAATTTAACAAACGTCTAATCTAATAAATGCTCAACTACACTAATTTTATAACATAACGTTTTTAGTACGCGAGTGTTGATTGGTCGAGAAGCGTGTTTCTATAACTGTATGGAAACACGGGAAATTGCCATCTCGCAGCTTCGATTTTAAAACATAAACAGAACAATCTTAAATGTCTCTGGAGGTAAGTGGCGTATATTAGATAAAGGGAGTTTAAGGGAGAGGAGATCTGGCCATACTTTGGTTTTCCAAGTTTTCTACAAATTTCCACACTTCTTCTGGGAAAGCTCCATACTATGAAAGTGTCCAAAACTTTTGGAATTGAATTTCTAACCTTTTTCCATATAATTTCCGTAGAATTTGCACAGTATGGAAATGTTTTAAATTTCCCAGTGTCTATGAGACAAAGAAGCGTGAGAATTTATTAGATTATTAGCTATACGTCTATTTCGTCATAACCTAAATTTTACCTTTTTGCCCGTAGTCTGTGAATTCTTCTCAATTCTACTGGCAGTGATAATAGATGTTGTGTTAGCAGTGAATAGTGAGAGTAGGATAGCTCCAGCTAATATCCACAGAATGCAGAGAATTCGTGCGATGGTTGACTTGGGTGCTTTGTCACCATATCTGAAACATGATGGATATTATAGATGCGTTTATTGTCGTAATTCTTCTTTTTAGCCCCCCTTTTCAAAAATACCCCAGTACAAAAGCACCGAAAAAAGAATAAACCCCACCCTATATTTAGCCCCTATTTACTATTAATTAAATCAATCTCAATATATTCTTATAGTGGAATACGAACACCAACGATCAATCAAATTAAAGTAATTAATAATTCAAACATCAGAATGAAACAACTGAAACAAAACATGGAATTGGAATTGAAACAAAACATGACATATCACGTTACAAATAATAACCGTAGCAGACTTCAAACGATTCAATTACATTAGTCAAACGGGCGTAATAACCCTCTGAAACGTTGCGTTTAAAACGTAAACGAACATGAAAATTTCTGCACGCTTCAAACGTGAACGCAATGGTAGTAATGGATGCTTCTAGTTAAATTAAGCAAAATCATATACGTGCGTACACGCTTGGAAAAGTTATAATCTTTCTAAATTTTATACTGATGAAATAACTGAATAAAATAAAAAGACAGCATCGAGTTTTCTGTTTGATTTAATATGTTTTTGTCTAGGCCATTAGTACTGATATGAAATTACGCGTCCACGCACGTATAAAAAAACGCTTAATTGGAAAGCAGCAATTCTTTAATTATTTTTCTAAAACTTTCACCTCTGGTCATCATTAATTATATAATTCAATTCACTTTCAAACAGGATTTTTCAAGAGGTTTACTTCATTTTTAACAACGTTTCGGACAGTTTTACTGTCCGTCTTCAGATTATTACAACTTTGTAAATGTTTCCAAGACATTTACAAAGTTGTAATAACCTGAAGACGGACAGTAAAACTGTCCGAAACGTTGTTAAAAATAAAGTAAACCTCTTGAAAAATCCTGTTTGAAAGTGAATTGAATTATATAATTAGCAATTCTTTGCTTGCACATATCGTCACTACGTGTCATTAGGCGCCATCTTGGTTGATTTGAAAGTTCTTTCCAGCCGTTTACATCCAAATAGTTGAGCTACTTTAATATTTTTGGTTTGTTTTGAAAACAACTTACTGTATTACGGATAGTTTGCATTTCTGACACAATACGACAAAGAATGAAGAATATAGATTTTTAGTTGCCATGAAAATCAACCAAGATGGCGTGGATTGCAGCAATATTGAGCAACAATAAGCCATTGGGGCAGACATTATTGAGCAACAATAAGCCATTGGGGCAGAACCACTGGAAAAAGTAAGTCTCAAGGAAGCTAATGAAACACCGGGCTTACGGATCGAAAGCTTTGCAGTAATAAATTTACGTGGTGTTTCCACAAACAAAAAGTATTATAGGATCAAATTACCTGAAAGGTATAAAACGAACTTTGGAAGGGCCGTCGTTCAAAACGTCGACGTTGGTGTTATATTTTCAGAAACTTTGATCCTGCAATCCCTTATGAAGCATGTTGTGCACAGTGAGCTACATATATATCTGGAGCGACACCTCGAGTGCGACAGAGCTACTGGACGTCAGTTCCAGTTCCTTTCTATTGTTTTGACTGCGGGGTTGGCACCAACTGCCGTGCTGGCAAGGATCGTGCCGAAATTTCGTATTCTGACCTAGATTTAAAGAATAATACTATGGTTTTATGACCTCATATAAACTTGGTTAGCAATAGGCTGAGTTAGAAAAATTTGGAATTAGGTGGGAACAATTATATACAGTATATTGAAACTGTTTACGACCTTCATTGCTATTGGACCTCAATTTCCGCCATCTTGCGGCTTCACTTAATTCATTTCTCATAGGCCGAACGACTGAAATTCTTACTCCAGATATATACAGCTCCCTGTTAAATTTCTTGCTTCGTACTAGAAGTGTCAATGTTTCTGAAGTTGACCACCATCTGCTACAAGGTAATAAGGCTAAGAACACCAGCAAAAATACTCAATGGACCTATTACCTAATGAACAAAATTTTGATCTAGACAAGTCTAGACAAAAATTTCATCACAGCCAGAAAGAGCATCACAAAATTAGTAATATTCCGAAGTTTCGATCGTTGCGAAACGTTGTAAAATGCAGATAATATAGTCTTGCGAAGTTTGCCGTTTTTCAGTCATTTTGTATTACGCACGGGAAATTGATACCGCTTTCTGAAAAAAGTTATCAATTTCGCGCTCGTAATACAAAATGACTGAAAAACGGCAAACTTCGCAGGGCTATATTATCCTCATTTTACAACATGTCGCAACGAAACTTCGGAATATTACTAATTTTGTAATGCTCTTTCTAACTCTCGTGAAATTTTTGTCTAAACTTGTCTAGAACAAAATTTTGTTCATTTGGGAGTAGGTCCATTAACCATGTACCCTCTACATCAGTATAAGCTTACCCTACAGTCGTCATTGTCACTACGGCCCACCAAAATCCTTCAAACATTCCTCGGACAAATGGGGTGGGAAATTCTCCAGGGTTTGAACGATGGTCCTAGATAGAAGAAATTGGGATATGGCAATTTAGTTTGTCCCATATATTTGAAAGAATATTATATGGAAATATTTTTCAGATTTTTCAAATGTTGCTTAGGGATCGGTCACTATTAATAGCGGGGGCGTCACGAAAAGAAACATGTTTCTTGGTAAAACGTTTGCTGATCCAACCATTAAAAAGTCAAAACAACCTCAAATGTTAATCAAAAACTAAATACCCACTCCTGACCAAACATTTCACAAACGGATAACATTCAGTTGTCACACATGTCCTTTCCCACTTCTGTGACATGAGTTTGGCAACTGCTTGTGCAATTTTATGCAGTCTAAAGTTTTATGTTGTCAGCACTTGTAGTACTTTCTTTGGAGACACCATTTGTCTACTAATGGCCATGTTGTATTGACATACGACTGTTGACATTTCTTTTTGGTCCTCAATATTTGTGTAAGTCACTGTTTGGAAATGACAATAAATTTTTATTACCCAACCCTCGAATTGTTTTGTTCTTCATTCACCCAACTATTTACTCACTCAAAACAATGTTTGCCCAACCCTTCTCTCTTCGGTGCCACCCCCCCTCCCCCCGCGCCATAAATTATGACTGCTCCTTAAATTCTAGAAATATATTGACTATGTAATGATCATAAATCAGTGAATGAGCTGTCTGCTATTCAGGTACTCACCAATGCCCAGCCAATGATGCCAACTGCCCAGGAAAGTGACACTACCAGCGCAAAAATTGGCCACGATGGCTTAATAATATCTATCGCAGATATGTGCAAATGTGAGTCGCTCTTCAACATTACTAAAGCAAACCCAGGCGATTTTCGCAACTTCAGAAACGGAACCTTATGCGAGTAGACCTCTAAAAACAGATATTAAAAATTTAACACAGTGTTGAGAAAAGTTCTAGGACCCAATTGAAAGCAGTTGTCCTAGCTTGAAATGTAAGCGTTTCATATAAGACGTGTTACTCTGTATATTTTACTGGGGCAAATAGAGCGACGGCGACGTCCAAAACTTCCGTGGGATTTTAATTGTTCGTTCCTTCCCAATTTCTTGTTTGAGGTTCTTAGTAACAATAGTTCTTTAAAATTTTAAGTGTAAAAGTGTAAAATTTATATAAGGCTCTTTTTGTCAGACACGTCCCCGTAGTAGATTAAGCCTTGCTTCGGTTCGCTACCTATACCCTATAGGCCTGGCGCAAACCGTTCGAGTTTATTTTAGGTAATGCTTGCTGACTGCTGAGGGTTTCTTCCCTTAATACCTCCAAGGGTATGTAAATGAGTGAAAGAGAATGGAAACGATTGTGGCAACGTCGAAAGATCAAAAACAGAATATTGACCGCCTCTTACGTTTTTTTTGTGCCCTCTCAGGAGAATACATCCTCCGAGAGATGTATTATATACTCAGAAGAAGGCGTACGGTACGTAAAGTTTGGGAATTCAAAATTCATATAATATTGCATGGATTTTGAGATTTCTTAAAAGATTTGCAGCGTTGTTCAAAACACAATTTTGGATTAATTTAGAAGTTTGGAGAACACTAATTTGAGAGTATATGGGAAGGGATTTTATATTATACGGCTTATTTAGATATGTTGAGATTTTCATGTATTGCAGGAGGAGTGATGTGTTGTAGGAGGAGTGCTGGATTGCTGCAAACCTTGATTACCTTCCAGCCGACGTAACTAATAGAGTAACAGTTTAAAAAGGTTTCAGTGCTAGGTTATTTTAATGATCATATTTCCTCGTACCTAAATTCCCCTGGGATGTGAACTCCGGAAAATAGAAAATCAAATGAGAACCATTTTGAACATCATGGTGATGCAATATGTCTTCCTGAACAATGGACTCAACCGATCTATTTACAAGGGTAAAATTAAGGGCCATTCCAGGACAACAAGCTTCGACCGCTCCAATTAAGCTCCGGTATACAATTCCATGTTCTTGAATTTCGTCTTTTTCATCGCCATGGCCTAAATAGAGCTCGTAAAACTCATTATAACGGACCTCCACGCTTGAGACTTTCTCGCATTCCTTTTTCGGTATTAGTAGTTCTCGAGCTGAGCCAGAAGCATAGCAACAGACCAGTAGAAGTAAAAGGACAGTTTTCAGAAGCAATGGTTTAAGACGCATTCTAGCTTGTTTTCCTTAAAGCACTTCAGATCTTGATTTATCGTTATTTTAATTGTAATCGAACGGCAAATCTAAATAGACAAGAAATTACAGTGGATATTTTACCTCACAATATGTGATTAACCTTATCAAATCAGATAACTAAGTTTGTATTACACGGCTATGGTATTTTTGAGCGAATACCAAGTCCCGGCCAACTCGTAGCACGAGTCTTTTCCCCGAGGCATGGCACTGATATTCAACTCGACCAAGCATGAGCCATTCTCGTTCCCAGAGCCATTTTCACTTGGTCACTGGTTGAAAATTAAGCTCAGCGTTAGACGACTAAAGCGAGAGATATGATTGGCTTCCCAGATAACTGCTATTTCGCACAAGTTGAGCAGTTTTGCTAGGGAAATGATTCTAAGAAAATATGTCAACACAAATACTTCGTTTCTTTAAATTTTTACGGTTTCTGAAGCGTCCAAATTCAAGTTAAGAGTATACGCTTTAGAAACTACTACAGGTTTCTTGCACTTCCGGTTGCGTGTATCCCAGGGCCTATGAAGGTCGCGCTTGGCCGAAAAGCCCTGGGAACGAGGATGAGCTTGAGCGGGCAATTTGATATCGAATATCCAGCTCAAACATGGCCTCATACATGGCGGAAATAACATGAATTTAATGATAAATTTAGGAGGCTGTAATACAGTGAAACACGCGGGAAATAGTATTTCTTGTAAGTTATGACAATAAAATTTGTCAAAAACTTAATTGTATTTTTTAAATTAAGAGTTAGTAAATATTTATCAGTAAATGAATGTTATTTATTTGCTGGTATCTGGTACAGGTAAAAGCCAAACAAGGTTCGGTAATTGTATCATTTATAGATCTTCCACAGTAAAAATTTCAACGCCTACTCTGGGAACAGAAAAATCGCCTGAAGTCGCCTTAGTTAATTTCTGGGAATTGAATTTAACTCCCAGTGGCCGGGGTTATTTTGAACCAAATTTAACTCCAAATATTGAGTACAATTATGTTCAAATAACTCCGCTGTTGCCATGACAACCACATGACTTATCAAAAATATTCATATGGGTGCACCCACTTGGTGTAGCAAGTTTCATTGAATTTTATTCAATAGTCACCAAGATATCAGACTTTCTTGTTATTGCCATTATCTCAACTCAAACTTGTGACGTCACAACTCAAAATATAGAAAGTGTAATAACTTGAGAATGAGATGAGATAAGAAAAATTTGTAAACGTCATTCTTCATCACTCTAGCTGCAGTACTGTTTAGAACAGCAATACAAAATAAGGTAAAAATTTTGTTTCATAAGCACTTTAGAAAATTTCGGTCAACACTAATCTGGCTTCATGGCCAAACATTCAAACAATAATGTGAAAATATTTTTCTTTAATTCTTGTATCCTTTCGTAGACAGTATATCATGATTGACCACCAAGCAGCGAGCAAACATCATGCGCTCACTTTGAAAATTTTCTTTATTCTTGTCCTTTAGGGCTATAGTCTATATAGTATAGGCGCGGGATAGTCCAATTCACGACTTATAAGTACAGACTGAGTAATTCTAGATAAATAAAACTGGATTTATTGCGACATTTAGCTGATTTATTACAGGAAATTAATTCATTGGGGTCGTGTGAACCGAAAATGCGACCTGGCAACGCTTATGCAGCAGCTTGACTAATTTCTAGATCTGTTATATAGATAGATAGATAGATAGATAGATAGATAGATAGATAGATAGATAGATAGATAGATAGATAGATAGATAGATAGATAGATAGATAGATAGATAGATAGATAGATAGATAGATAGATAGATAGATAGATAGATAGATAGATAGATAGATAGATAAAATTTATTTAAACACGCTGACCCCGTCAACCGAAGCTGATTTCCACGAGGGGCGTGCGAAAAGTATACAGACAAGAATTTTAAAACTATTTACAAAATTATATAAGATATATAGTATTATATGAACTAACAAACTAAGGTAATAATCTATATACAGGTAATATTAACATCTATGTTTTCGGTTAGCTATCAATCGATGTGAGTAGCGATTTCCTTTCGAAAGGAAGAAAAGGATTTGCTCTCTCTTATTTCTTTAGGAATAGAATTCCAAAGGTGTGCTCCATCATACACGAAACTTTTTTTCATATTATTAGTAGGCGGTTGTGGTAAACAAAGACTACTTGAAATGTTCCGAAGTTTGTAGTTTGTCACCTCACCCTTACATGTGAAGAGATTAGTGAGTGATTTGGGTCCCATTTTTTTCAATAAATTGTACATGATTTTGCTTTACTTTTCTTCCTTTCTGTTTTAAGTGGCTTCCAACCCAATGCTTGCAATGCAACAGAATGATCTATGTCATTGCTGACATTCAAAATAGTCCGAGCAGCTCTGTTTTGTAGTTTTTGGAGTCTTTTTAATAGCGTTTCTCCAAACACATCCCATATACTTCACAGCAGTAATCAAAATATGGGCGAACAATAGCATTATATTACGGAAAGAAGTGTTTGCCTATCAGCAAATTCTTTTAAACGCCTAAGAGACACAGATATTTGTATGAGTCACAGTTTAAATCCAACCGCAAAATTGTTGAATTCTTGTTTATTCTATTTAGTTCAGTTCAGTTTAGTTTGAAGACGCTTTGCGCGGTATATTCAATTTAACTTTTAAGTTAAAGTATAAGGACAACAGCATGCAAACTCGCAAGATATATAAGAACAATTCAGTCTAATGCAAACTAAAACTATAATATCACAAAACCCGTCGATGTTACATAACAAATAAATAACCGAGCAAAAATGCAAAATAAAGCATACCTTAAAATACGGTAGAACGATTGATAATGTCTACACAGATGCGTAGAACACAAACCATGTATTTCGTTCTTTCGCCTTTCTCATGCATAAAGAAAGTAACACAGTCAGAGTGAAGCTCTGTTTATATCATGATCTAAGTTATATACAAAGCGTCGAATATCACATAGTGTGTGTTTTAATTGTCTAAATAATTATGCTGCTGTGGTCTTTTGAAGCATCCAGTCGGGTTAGGACTCTTGTCTGTAAAAAAAAAACACAGTAAATTCAATTTGCGTTCATTATTTTCTACGCGTGTGTCCATAAACTCTTGTTGGACAACTTAATTAAAGCCCAATAGTTATTTAATGTATGCATAAAAGATTAACGGCGGTGGGGGGAGTTCTACAATTATATACAGCTGTCTCAAAAAAGGTTGTCCCTAAAAAGATCTCAAACCTTAAAATCTAAGCGCGCAAGGTGCGATGGGTAACATCTTACTTAAGACCTAAAACGTGCGAATTTTGTATTGTAACGCTATGCCAAGACAGATAATATTAAACACTTAAGTCAAGATGCACAACTATAGCAGTGTACTTGGATAAAGAAGTTATCGATCACTCTTTGCGCGCTTAGAGTTTAAGTTTTGAGATTTTCGAAGGACAACATTTTTTTTTAATTAGCTGCATACATGATCAACATAACACATGATCAACAATTAATGAAATAAAGTTTACCGATATAGAATAACTCGGTTTTTCTTTTGATTCATAAACTTATAATTTAACCCGAAATTAAGGGTTGACCCATGAGGTAATAGGGAGTTTACGATCTACGGCGCGGTCGGCTCGACGACGCGCTTTCAAAACAAAGAAATTTGGTGTTTGCACAAGCAATAGTATTATGTGTTTTATCGCCATGCAAACCTACAAAGAACTTACAAAGAAATTTGTCATGCAAGACAAAAACTGTCAATAATTTGTGGTCCCATGAATATTGTCAACCGCGTTGTCGTTCTCAACATAACGTTAAAAAAGCATTATTACGTCTTTCAGGCAACGCGAAAACTTAATGCGACACAAGAGGTGTTACTAAAAGTCGAAATTACAGCACACATTGCATCGCTTTAGCCGAACGTAGCATTTTGTAAGGTATTTGAAGGAGTCAAATATTTATTACAGTAATCGAATTGCTTAGTGCTTATTCTTGAGCTAAAATTTAGACCGCGTCGTTAAGCCGACCGCGTCGCAGATCGTAAACTCCCTATTACATACCGCGCACGCCGACGGGGAGTGTTCGTAATTTCATTTACCTTAACCTTGGGGTTTTATCAATTACGGAGTTAAATCTTGTTATTTGTCAAAAATGTAGATATAACCAATTGGCATTGCACTAAAAATTATAATTAACGGGGATATAAATATATTGGATTTTTATAGGGAACTAAATAATTTATTAGAGAGCTAATAAGTATGCAACCGAAGTTTTGTCAAAATTTACGCTAATCGGAATTCAAGCGAGGCATTATTGATGGCGAGTGATGACACCGCAGTTCTTGCTTATATAATAGAGAACTTAAGCAAGGGACGTTTTTGACAACACGAACGCCAACCGGAAGTCAATCGAGCCGTTATAGATGGCGAGTCATGGCGACAGCAGTTCTTGTTTGAAATCTAGAACGGCAGTCAATGAAATTTAACGTTCGTGATTTCAAACTAGAACGGCTGTCGCCATCACTCGCCATCTATAAAGGCTCGATTTACTTCCGGTCGGCGTTCGTGAATCAAAAACGTCGGTTTCTCGAGCCGATCTTTTCGGCAAAAGTTGAAAAAGGCGAAATTCTTTAGGATGTTTTTGCATTGTAAAGACGATCTAGTACGTGACTATAGTGTATCGTATATGGTGAATTTGATGAATTTGAAGTATTGAGAAGATGAATTTGAAGTATTGAGGATGAATAAAAAGATGAATTTGAAGTATTGAGGATAGCCTGCGTAGCAGGCGTTTAGTGCGGGCTGGAGTAGAGAGGGCGTCGTCGAGAACGCCAGCCCAAATGGCTATGACAAATGGGTTTTCGACCGAAAACACGTCGGCTTTAATTCTGATTGGTCAATCTCGTTGACGGAAGTAATTACGTAACTCAAATGTCAACAATAATTTTGCCCGCGTATATATTCTCATAAAAAAATGGACGTTAATATTTTGGAGGAAAGTCTTTCTGATTTAGTATTTTAGGTTTTGAAATTCAGTTGAAACCATAACAGAGATGAAGTGAAGAGTTTATCGCGATTCTTCTTACGCTACGGGATACGGAAAAAGTTTGATCTTTCAAAATCAAAGATTTTCACCAAATCAAAGCTTGCTACATGCCAGCACAAGCAGGAATCGCCGAATATTCCTTATAGTGGTCTTGGTATTTGTCCTCTTGAAAGTCAGTATAATTCAAGACCAGATAGTTGAGGCTAGCTATGAAGTTGGACGATGAAAAATAACATTTCAAAACATGCTCAACTGTTATTTGCTATTGCAGAATACGTTAGACAACCGTGGTTCAGGAGCATTTTAAAGGATAAAAGCTCTGTGTTGTCTTGAAATAGCATAAAATCTCCCTAGTTGCCGAGCAAAAAGCATGCAACAGACCTTATTCATGAATCGTGATCGAGGCCTCGTATCCTATAGGAAACGGGGAAAAACGCGGGGAAACAAGCGAAAGCTGCTTGACAAGCCAAATCCAGACGCCATTGTGCCGACTATAATGGCTTGTTTCTTGTTGTTTATTTTGATTTTTGTGTGTGTTGTAAGATTTTGTGCTTACAACAAAAGCTATAAACGATTATAGTAAAAATCGACAGGTTTTTGTCACGTTTTTTGTGTGAAATGTTTAAAATATGACAACGTAACAGTGGTGTTTATTCAGAAGCGAGAAAACAGTACTTTAGTGAGATTTTAAGTTTTTAACGTCAATACATCCGTAAAAAATCAAGACAACTGTGGAATGTAAGTTTATTTTATAATTTGATATGAATATGAAAGAAAACAAGAGTTCAAAATTAAATCACAAGAAAACGTCAAATTTTATTGATTCGCATAGAAAAAATATGAACTGTACCTGAGCTCGAAGACATTCTGCAAGCAGTTTACAAGTTTAAAAAGTAAAAGATACAATACCTGAGTGAGCTGTAATCTTATTTCTTCAACACTAGTTTGATATTTCGTACGATTTTGGTGTTGTAGACGTTTTGTGGCCTTGTAGACCCTTGTTTGTTGTTTGTTTTAGCCATACAAACTACAACAAAACAAAAGTTTCCTTTTCCGATTGACCCCAGCAACTTTTACGTTAAAATATCACATTATATTTTCTCTGAAGTATTATTTCAACTTTCATGGTCAACTTTATAGATATATTTTCGAAAAAAGATATTTTTTTGTCCATTTTTTGCCGCGTTTTCCCCCCGTTTCCTAGGATACGAAGCCTCATGACGATTTATGAATAAGGTATATTTATGGAATGGAAATTTTCAAAATAGCATTTTGGCATTATCAAGTCGTCCAAACTTCGAAATTCAGATGATGGTAAAGATTATAATTATGTGGTTATCTCCAAAGGTTTTCATAAAATTCGGAATTGAGCGTTTTGCGAAAATAACATAATTGAATACATAGTGTTGGAAAGTTAGGTATTTTTTCTGTTAAATTTTGCCTCGTTAGACCATTATTTCGCTGCATGTGATGATTTTTTGTTATTTATATGTAATAATTCAATATGACTAGTTTAAAGGGTTAAAGGGTATGGGCAACGAAAATTGCTTCATCTATCTTATTGCTTCGTCTGAAAGAGCATGATAAAATAAGCCGATTGGCCGTTTAATGCTCTATTCTATCTCATCTAGTTCCGAAGTTATACGCAAAAATGTGCAAAATATAAATTGCTGATTCAGCACAACGTGTGACATCATTAGCTGGGTAAGTATGTTTATTGAATACTACAATGAAGCATAGTTCAGTTATTATGGGCCCAAATCAAATGAAATTTTGGATACTGATTGTACATAATGAGACGCATGGATAAACACTTCTAATTTTGTTGCCAAGGTAACAATGTCGTTCCCAGGCCCCTTGCGCCAGTTTTATAAAACAGCTTTATTCAAGGTACTGATAAAAATAAAATAATATCAGAAGTATGTGTACGATACCTATGCATGCCGAAAGTTTACTTGCATGATAATAATTCAAAAATGACATACACATAGAGAAATGCAACTAGTTATTCAAAATCAGTGTAAGGGTCCTGGGAACGACTGTGTTGCCTTGACAACGAAATTAGAAGTATTTTCCCATGCATCTCATCATGTACTATCTGTATGCAAAATTTCATTTGATTTGGGCCAATAATAACTCAGCTATGCTTTAGTTTACTATTCCATAAACATACTTACCCAGCTTATGACGTCACACATTGTGCTGAATCAGCAATTTATATTTTGCACATTTTTGCGTATAACTTCGGAACCAGATGAGATAGAATAGAGCAGTAAACGGCCAATCGGCTTATTTTTTTATGCTCTTTCAAATGAAATTCAATTTAATTTTCAATTTAATTTATTAAGTTAAATTAATTTACAAAATCAATAAAATGTTGCTGTCCACAAATAGCAAAAGCTAATCGTGGTGAACAGCAACTACACACATTCGGAATTAAAGAAGATTTCAAAAATTCATCAGTAAATACAAGCTCTATTCATCATCAAAAGGCATATATATAATAGAAATACATTCACCATATATACAAACATAATGTCTAACGAATGATCAGACTTAAATTCAAGATCATAAAATAATTTAACTTTTAGATTATTGCGATTTCTTTTTGTATTGTTAGAATATCAATATAGTCGTCTTTCTTTTCTAATATTTCAAGTAACTTTCTATGTAAAACTTTTTTAAAGTGATTCTTTGATTTTTCACGTAGTTCTGTAGGAATGCTATTCCAAATTCTACCTCCCATTCTTGAGAATGATTTGCTTTGCACATCTAAACCTGAATATTCAACGTGGAAGTTCTTCCTAGTGGAAGATCTGGTGTTGTGTTCGTGTACCTGACTTAATGGGGTAAACAAAGCCGAAATATTTGGGGGTACCACTGAACTTGATACGTCATGCATTAGTATTGATACTGATTTGCAATAAAGCAAGTTTATTGGCATAACATTAGCTGACAGAAAATAAGGAATGGCATGAGACAGATAGTGTGCAGAATATATTAAACGAAGAGCACGTTTTTGGAGTTTAAGGATTTTATCTAAGTAACATTTGGCAGCACATCCCCATACAACAATAGCATAAGTTAGGTAAGGCAGCATAAGGGACTTATAGATACTTATTAGTGTACTAACTGGTACAAAATGACGCAGCCTAGCAATTATGCCAATTCGTTTGCTAAGATTAGAGGCGATGTACCCAATATGAAATTTCCATGAAAGATTTGAGTCCATGAGAACACCAAGGTATTTAATGTAATTTTTAGTTTCTAGTGAGACGAAAGTATTAGACTGTGCATCATACATCTTCAAATCTACCGCATAATCCAGCCGTTTTTGGTAAGAATGAAAAATAATGAAATTAGATTTTTTTATGTTTAGGGATAATTTATTAGCTGTTAACCAGTTATAGATATTAAGAAGTTCTGTATTGACAATATTTTTCTAGTGTTTTTAAATTCTTGTCAGCGTATAATAAATTGGTGTCATCTGCAAATAAGGAAAACGTCAGCTTATCAGAGGAGTTATAAATATCATTTATATAAATTAAAAATAGTAGCGGTCCCAGGACAGATCCCTGAGGAACGCCAGAAAGAGTTTCTTCTTTTTCAGATATATTTACACCCATTTGAATAGTTTGGATACGACCTAACAGGTAAGAGGAAAACCAATCGTTTATGATGCCTCTTATTCCATAATGATGCAATTTTTCTAAAAGTATTGAATAGTTTACAGTGTCAAATGCCTTTTGCAAATCAATAAAAATACCACAAGTGAACAATTTACGAGACATGTTAGATTGGATTTGATTTACTATATCTAAAATTGCATGCTGAGTTGAATATTTTTCCCGAAAACCATACTGAGATTTAAATATGATATTTTGTTTCTCAAGAAAAGATTTTAAACGATTATACATCAATTTTTCAAAATTTTTATTAAAGATTGATAAAAGAGATATTGGTCTATAATTAGAAGGATCGGTTTCATCATCCTTTTTGTAAATAGGGATAACTTTTGAGTGTTTTAATTTAGCTGGGTATTGGCCGCATTCAACCGATTTATTCATTAAATCAGATAAAGGATTGGATAAAACGTGTCTAGCGCATTTTAAAATACGAGTTGGGCATGAGTATAGGCCATGTGCCTTTTTCATTGGAATTAACATAATTTCTATTTCGATCTCGTGCGGCATGATAGGATTAAATTGAAACGATCCTGGGTTATTTATCTTTGGAAGGTAATTTGTGAATGGAATTTGTGAATTTGGCATTTTACTAGCTAAATTATGACCCACTGATGAAAAGTATTTATTGAATATATTTGGAAACTTACTTTCATCATATATCATTCTGTTGCTGATGGGACATTTTAAAGAAGGGATGGGTCTAGTTGACTGTTTCTTCCGATTAATTAATTCGTTTATACCTTCCCAGGTCTTTTTAGCGTTTGCAAAGTTGTACTCAAAATAACTATGATAATATTCCTTTTTACTCTGACGAGTGAGTGTCAAAATTTTGTTTCTATAGAATTTATATTTATCCTTATCACCGCGATTATATAACCTATTCTTAATTTTAATTGATTTCCTGATACCTTTAGTTATCCATGGTTTTGTTAACTGCTTTGCTTTACGCTTAGAAATGTTCTTAAGGGGAGCATGGTTTTTGATAACTGTATTTATCTTATTGTAAAATGTTGAAAACGATTTGTTTATATCATTTTCGCTCAAATCAGCAGCATGATTCAAACCAGAACGGGAAAGATCATTGACAAAGTTGGATTCTGAAAACTTTGAATAGTCTCGAGTTAAATGTTTGTTTGCAAAATTAGTTTTAGCTTTTACGTTCGAATGAGTGATAAAAAACTGAGAGTAGTGATCACTTATATCTGAGACAATATTTCCGGATGTAATATTATTTTCTAATTTACTTACAAAAATATTATCTATGAGTGTTGCCGAGTCATTATGTACGCGTGTTGGTTTGTCTATAGTAGGCATTAAACTGAAACTTTGCATAGAGAGGATAAAATTTTGAGCGTGATTACATGTTTCAGAACGAAGAAGATTGATATTAAAATCGCCCATTAGGTAAATGGGTTTACCGGATGCACTCATTTTTTCAATAGTTTCTTCGAAATAGCTTAAGAAACGTTCCGGTGAATTGTGTTGCCTGTAAATAACACCACATATTATGTTTGCATTCTTCGGTGATTGAATTTCGATCCATAGTGCCTGATAAGATTCATTAGAGCTTTTCTCAAGTATTTTATACTTCAGACTACTATTAATATACATGCCTACTCCTCCAGCAGCTAATGGTGTATGTACAAATTCAAAGTTGTAATTTGGCATTGAGGGATTAAAATCAATAAAAACGTCTTGCTTAATTCTAGTTTCTGTAACACCAATTACATCAAAATTATAGGCAAGTTCATCGAGGAGATGTGTTTGTAAATTTTCTAAATTTTTCTTTAGGCTTCTTATGTTATTATGTAGTAAGGAAAACTTATTATTGCAGTCAGTAGATACATTAGAGGTTTCTTTAAGTTGATTAAAGCTGTGAGGCGAATAATATTTGCAACGCATTTGCGAATAGTAATTATCATTTACATTGTTCGATCTTTTCTCATGCATGTTCAAATTAAAAAGGTCCAAATCATGAATGCTAGTCAAGCGATCAAGGTCTTTTTTTGTCGGTAGAAAAGAATTACTAAAGCTACTGTTTTTAAATAAATTATTAAATTGAGCGGGCCAAAGGTTTGAAAAAGGTAGTTCTCGAAGAAGAGCTTTATTAGCACTGCTTTTAGTCTTTAGACTCATGTTTGCCATGACGGTAAATTACAAAAATTCCACTTAGTTGTTGAATTGAAAGGATTAGTCCCTACGTCCCTGTTCATTCATTAAGGTCTCCAAGTCGTGATTATCATTGATTTTGATTGCCCTTGCTTCTTTAGTCTTCCGGAGATAGATTGTAGAATTTTTTGTCCAACAATAACTGAAGTTGTTGTCAGATTTAAATTTTTTCGCAGCAACCAAAAGTTGTTGACGTTTTGGGGTTAAATGATCGTAAATCCCAGCATATTCCATTGATGTTTCTCGAGATAGGCCAGCGCGAGTGGGGTCTATTTTCTTTATGTTTTGTCTCACGGCCATAACTTGTTCCCGTGCTAGGCGGCGAACAAATTTGCAGACAATCGGTTTTGGCTGACTGCCATTACTCCTTCGTGGCTTTACGCGATGAGCAATATCAATGTCTGCAATAGACACATTTGCTCCTACGGCATTGAAAATGTCGACACATAGCTGGCTTGTCTCAGCTGCAGTTTCATTCGAGCTGGATTCCGGTATTCCCAACATTTTCACGTTATATGCGTAGCTGTATTGCTCGGCTTCGTCAATAGATTTGGAGAGATTTTCGACCTTTTCTGCTAATACAGTTAGGCGAGATTCCAGTCGCGACATTTGTTGTTTAGACGAATTTCGAAAACGGTGCAAATCATCATACTCATTACTCAAATATTCCAGACTTTTGACTGATTCTTTATCCAGCGCTGAACTTGCCATTGCGGCGTTTGTAGTGCTCTTGGTTTCACTGGATTTAACATCCTGTACAAACTTCTTGAAATCATTCTTGATTGATTCGATTTCAACCCTTAACTCGTCGTTTTCTTTCTTTAAAGATTTTATAGTGTCCTTTGACATTTTAGTAGATTTTGAGCTAAAGCTGAAGAGCACAGAAATTCGCGTCCGTACTCACTCGAGCACGAGTGAAATGCAATAAAAACAATAAAATTTTTTGTTGCCCATACCCTTTAAGACATTCAATTGAAGTAATTCTGAGCCATAAACATATTTTACTTCTTAGGTATTTATTGGACGTATATTGAGCGAAATTAGTCGAAAAAATTTGAAACCCAACTTTGAAATTTTATGACCAACTGGCCAAGACGACTTCTCGTAAGAATTCGTTAATAAAATACAAATTCCAATTGAGTGTTTCTTGATTGTCAATTGAAAAGATTTTTAACTAGTGGCAATGTGAGCTGCATTCTATCAAACGTGAACGATGCATGTGCATACAAAGGGCTTCAAAAATCTTTCACGGTTTTACCATGCTTCTTGCGAAAACAACCGTTCGCATAAGCTTTCGAAAGCGTTCTGAGCAAAGACCAAAGAACATTGGCAATAATACCTGAAAATACATTACAGAATCTACTAAATTATCACATAACAGGAATTTTACTACTAATATCTATATCTTCATCAAACCTTGACTACAAAACTTCCAGCTGAGTTTTACCGCCAAATTTGTCTTGCCGTAAGACAATGTCGCCATAGTAACAATATGATTCTCGGTACCATTTCATTGCATCAAACATCGATCAGCTCGTCTATTTCCATTTCACCGCTATCATGGCAGTTTCTCCGTTCGTGATTCCAAACAAGAACTGCAAGCTGTCTCCATCGCTTCCATCCATAACTAACTTCTCGGTAGACTGCTGGTGCTAGTTCGTGGTACCACGTGGTAAACATGGCTTGCTTAAGGCGGATTTCCAGTCCTCGCACGAAGCTCCTCGCAGCTCGCTTCGAATGCTTGCATCTAATTAAAATGAACTGTTTGGCATTGTGATTGGATGAAAGTGCTCATGTATCACTCACAGCGAGCTGCGAGGAGCTTCTTGCGAGGACTGGAAATCCGCCTTTAAGGTAGGTACTTGTCTACCCTAAATTTCGGTCAAAAGTTGGAAAATTTCTTTAATTTTTATTGGCTTTACTGACTTTGTATTTACTGACATTATTATTGACATTGTATTTTCAACCCCTGAACTTTATTTGTCCGCGTTTGAAACAGTTTCTTCAAAATATCCATTTTTCTGGAAGGATGTCATTAAAAATTGTCATTAAAGTTTTTTTTGTCGCTATGGCTTCTTATCAGTTTAGATATTCATGATTGTCACAGTGTTGTGCTGGAATGAACTTGCCTCCTCCAGTTGCTAAAGATGCATATAATAAGAATCTGATCCAAATTGAAAAGGCTGCGAAAGTCAATGCCGAAGATATTATGAAAGATGCTGCCAAAAGATTGCGAGAACGATTGCTTGTGTATCAGTTACTGTTGACGGTACATGGCAGAACAGAGGTCACTCCTCAAAAATAGGTGTGATCTTTGTTATCTCTGTGGATACTGGGGAAATTCTGGACTATGAAGTAAAGTCCCTTTTCTGCCGTGAATGCAAAGTTCATAATAGTCAGGATTCTGAAAGCAAGGAGTATAAAGATTGGAAGGATGCTCATGAACTGAAATGTGAGATAAATCATAAAGGATCGTCTGAAGAGATGAAAGCTGTGGCTGCTGTAGTAATTTTTAGCAGAAGTATAAACACGTACACTAGACAGTTGAAGTATTCAACCTTTGTCGGGGACGGAGATAGCAGCAGTTTTGGCTGGGTCAAGGAGGCACTTGAAAGATAATTTGGTGTTGCCTATCAGATTAAAAAAGGTGGAATGTGTGGGACATATACAGAAGAGATTGGGAACTGCTTTGAGGAAGAATAAAAATGATAAGAAAGGAAAGAAGCTATCAGATGGTAAATCGGTTGGAGGAAAGGGTCGGTTGACAGATAAAGTGATTGACAGAACTATAACGGGAAGGCAATTCGAGGGAACAAGTGTAATCTAGAAGGCATGAAATCTAGTATTAAAGCTATTCAAAATCATATGATCAGGAATGGAAATTTAACATTAGATAAACAGCATCAGTACTGCCCCAGATCACCTGATACCTGGTGTAAATATTGGAAAGACAAAGCTGATGAAACGCATCTTTACAATGAAAATAATCCATTGCCTGAAGTTTCTATGGAAGAACTTGATTCCATATTTACCAGACTGTCCAAAGATGAACGTCTTAGTAGGTGTTTAAATGGGATGACACAGAAGCAAAATGAGGCAGCAAATGGAATACTGTGGTCAAAGTGCCCCAAAACTAAGTTTTGTGGTGCAAGGCTTGTGCGTATTGCGGTGTGTGAAACCATAGCAATGTTCAACACTAGTGCTTCTAGTAAAGCTGCTATTATGGAGTTACGTGGTGTTACCGCTGGGGCCCACACAATGAAAGCCTTTAGGAAACAAGATGACTCAAGATTAAAGAATGCGGCTAGACAAGTTAGTGCCAAATATATAGAGAGAAGACAAAAACTCCGTTCACAGAGAAAAGCAAAAGGGGGGACAGGAACGCCTACCAACCAGGTGGGTTTGATGTGCAGGCAAAGCCTGTTGATGCAAAGAAGAGAAAGAGAGCACCAAAGAAGAAAAAGACAATTTAGAACCAAAAATAACATTTGTTATGCCAACCGTTGAAGTGGTGGGCAACAAACGATAACAGTAGTTGATGGTTTTGGTATGTACAAACATAATTGTAGTAGTTTTAAAGAAGAAAGTCAAGTATATTGAATATATATGCTCTCTTTTAACTCCTTAAATATACAGGTACACTTTTACACAAATCTTGGTGTTCCACATAGCTAAAAACGGATGCAAAACACAAGTTCATAATTATTTAATCTTGATTCTCTCAAAATGAACAAGTTTTGCTTCAACCGTTTTGTGGAAAGCCTAGCTAGAGGGAAGATAATTTGATGAATTGGCCCCATTTTTTGGACTGTAAGTGTATCTCATGATACTTTATGCATTAAGTAGACAGTTTTTCAAAAGTTGTTGTTTTACCATGGTTACCATGGAAACAGTGTTTTTTCAGCATTCGGACAGAAGGGTTTGATACGGTGAAATGAAAATCTGTCTACTTAAAACATACTATAGAACATAAGAACTTATCGCACACAATTTGAAACTGATAACTATTTTTCTTCTTGAGATATTCTTTCCGCAAACTCTTGTTTGTCTCGTAGTTTTTGGCTGTTACCATGGCAACTATTTAATGTAGTTCACTTTAAGTGATCGTAAAACTTGTATATTGATTAGATCTTGCATTTTTCCAAGATTTATGGTAATTGATTGCATTGTTTAAAAATTAGAGCCAAATGAGTGTTTTAGGAAATTTAGGGTAGACAAGTACCTTGCTTAAGCTCTCTATGACAAATTTCCATGCATGATTTGTCGAAAGTACACAGGAGTTCAAATTGAGATTGAATTTTTATTTTTAAATGAGGCCATTTTGAATAACATGCAAGTTTAGAAACTAAGAAACACAGTAAGAGTTACATGCCAAACTAAAGAGTGGAGTATTTATTTTATGTTTTCTACTGTTGTATTTACATTTAGCAAACATGGTGCTTGTGATGTTACTCTGAGCGTAAATCCGCACCGGGCAAGCTTGAAAATACGCCTGGCCACGGTGGTAATCGAACCTACGACCATTGGAGCACTAGCTCAATGCTCTGCCAACTGAGCTATGCGGTCAGATCGGTTGGAGTATGTGATATTTCGGAACCGATTCTAGTTCATTCGATATCAATGTAATCTAATAATCACGATTTTTTCCGTGTTGGTGCAATGTACTCAGGTGAATATGATGTTTGTGATGTTACTCTGAGTGTATATCCACACCGGACAAGCTTGAATAATACGCCTGGCCACAGTGGGATTCGAACCTACGACCTTTGGAACAATAGCTCAACACAGAAAACCAACACAGAAAAAATCATGATTATTAGATTACATTGATATCGAAGAAACTAGAATCGGTTCCGAAATATCACATTATCACATACTCAAACCGACCTGACCGCGTAGGTCAGTTGGCAGAGCACTGAGCTAGTGTTCCAAAACTCGTAGGTTCGATTCACACCGTGACCAGGCGTATTATTCAAGCTTGTGCGGTGTGGATATACACTAAGAGTAACATCACAAGCATCATATTCACCTGCATGCGTACATTAATTGCACCAACACAGAAAAAATTAGCAAACATGCCAATATTTAAGTTCAGCTCTAAACTGTACAAATCAGTACGGCATTTCCCAACTTATAAGAATTAATACCTGGACATGTTCGAGAGTATTTTTGCAGCTATTTTTATATTTACCAAACAAACCAACACCGGAGTTTCATAAGCACGTGACAACATGACATATTCATTGAATAAGTGCATCAATTTGCCAATTATATTTCAACATCTAGTACATTTTTCCCGCGAATGGTTCACATTTTAATAAAACAAAATATGATTTAACTTTCATAAAATATAAACAAACTTTCATTTGTAGTGATGCAACTACCTGAAAAATATTAGGAGAATGGCGACGTTTCGACCTAAGGTCCTTCGTCTGGAGTTACTGACGACCAGATTTTACAGATATTACCGAAATGAAGGAAGATTAATAGGTGTCAGTAATTTTCTCCAAAATATGTATTCTAAGACCCCGTTCACACGCGGCATGGAATTCTGCCAGCAGAAAATCATCACGGTTTCAACTGTTCACACGATACCGGCAGATTATATTCCGCTTTGACAATATGCAGTACAAATCAATTAAAATAGACAGAATAAAATATCCAACAACATCTTTTGCAGTTTTGTTAATTTCATTTTGAATAACCGTAATGAAATTCTTACTCTAAATTCTCCTCTGACGGTAGAATCTCGTTTACAAGCCTATATGTTCACTCAACCTTTGGCTCAGTGAATATAGGCATGTAATCGCCTCGCCTTCGGCTACTATAATTGTTAAATAATCAAGGACGCCGGAGCCACAGGGCCTGCCTCGTCCCCAGTCGCTTGCTATCAAATAATTAATTAGGAAAAGACGAAAATTAATGGGGGCGCGCGGAATGATGGGAAGGGGAGGAGTTGCGGAGCGACTGGCAAATCCTGCATTCAAGATGGCGTCCGCTGCAATGGCGGACGAAGGATTGTCGTCCGGTTCATTTCCGACGTACTTTGGAGTGGGGATTCGAAGATTAAAATATCTCGACAAGTATTTACCCCTTTAAAACGAAAACCATCATTGAAATCCTCATAAAATAACCTTTCGAACGGGGGGTCAAATGCCGTCATAACATGACACAGACCAAAACAATCGTATATTTACTTGCCGCTTGGCCAAACATTCTTATTTCACGACGAGCAGAAATATTTATTTTGAATTTTTCAAAATATCAGGTTTCTACTCGCACGCGCGTGCCACCGGCTGAAATTTAGATATTTTTAAATACCGACGAAATAAAAGATACAAATATGCAGATACAAGCTTGAAAATAACACTCTAAATAGTGTGTTGGATTGTGATTCGAACAAGACTAATACGAAAAAGAAGCGTTGAAAGGAGCCGAAGTTATATTCGGCGAAAGGTTTGGCTTAGTGATACATTGTTTACATTGTTCGAGTATATAATTGTATATTATAGGTATGGTATGGCTCGTTTACATTGTTCGAGTATCGCTAGTTTATATTTTATGGCCATTTACATTGTTCGAGTATATAGTTTCTTTCAAGCGGAATTTTTTGGTGGTATTTTCGTATTTCTACTGCAAATATTCGCGGAGTTCTTCAATATTTAATCTTCCAGTCATATGTTTATACGGAAATCAAATAATACGGACGGCATTGAGAAGCTTCTAAAAGAAGCTGAAAGAAGCTACTAAATCATCACTATCATCAAACTGGAAGTCGTCTAAACTCATTAACGGCCCACTGTCGTAAAGTGATTCTTCCATCGCCTAAAAAAACACTATTTTCGTACTTTCGATCACATTTGCACAGTTTCGACACAGGATTTGGCGCCAGGCTCCTCCCTCGTAATTTTTCGTCTTCCCATTTTCCTTTGCGCGCTCGTCCTTAGTTGCGGGCGTGCGCCTAAAGGCGTGCGTCTTTATCGGGCTTGCAGTGCACGCGCTGATCTATATATATTACCGATATTTAAATTTGATCTATATAGAGGAGCCTGCGGAGGAGGCAGCCACAGGGCAGTGGTGGCACTTACGCCCCCCGCCCAAACTGTGCGGGGGAGCACTGCATGGGGAGGCATGTTGCCTTTTTTGACACTTGAACTGGACTTCCAAATTTTTCAGAAACGAGAGCTTTTCGAATAATATTCCCAGAACAACACTACAAAAAAGCATTGAGGAACACGAACACCCCATCACTTTACGATAGAAGACAGGAATTAACAACAAAACTTTTTAAGGAGATAGTTAATAACCCTGACCACAAATTAATGGATTTGTTACCGCCATTAAATAATGACAATAGCCACTTTTTGCGTAAAAATAGAAAATTTAACGTACCACTTCATAAAACGAACAGATTTAGAAACAGTGTTATCACTTATAACTCTAATACGTTTTCTGAATAACTTAGAAACTGTTTTACCATTAATATGCTGGTTTTTCACCTAATTTAAATTATAGCACATAGAAAGTGTTTTAGTAAGGGAGCAGTCATTATTAATGCCGGGGAGGGGGGGCGGAAGATATTTGTAAACTCATGGTAAATTTTTCATGCCCCCCCCTTTAAATATAATAAATCTTCTTAGCCCCCCCCCCCCTCTCTTCCCCCTTTGATTGAACTTGCATTCCAAACATATGCTATACATAGATCACAGGCGACCCAATCTCGCAACCGACAGTATAGACTTGTATATTATAGCAATATATATTATAGTAAAACTAATAAAATATAAATTTTAAAATTAAATTGACTTGTCTATTCGATAGTGTGTATTCTCCTTTTATTCCTCTTTTGTTGGACTAATATTTTCCGAGACTTTGCACTCGATCAGTCTCGATGGTACTTGACCCTTGCGAGATTGGGCCACTGTGGTGCAATTAATGATTTTTGATGGCTGGGGAGCGGGAAATCAACACAGCAAGTCCAATATGGCGGAGAAATTTATCTTTATCTTGTATGAAAACCACATGGACGAATTGAACAAAATTTTGGCACAGGAACGAGTTTAAAATACATAGTATGGCAAAAAGAGCCTGTGGAGAATACCTGGAAATTTCCACACCGGGCGAGCTTGAAAATTTGCCCGGCCACGGTGGGATTCGAACCTACGACCTTTGGAATACTAGCCCAATGCTCTTCCAACTGAGCTACGCGGTCAGGACGGTTCGAGTAAGTGATATTTCGGAACAGAATCTAGTTCCTTCGATACCAATGTTTTCTAGTAATATGATTTTTTTTTTGTGTTGGTGTAGTGTACTCAGGTGAATATGATATTTGTGGTGTTACTCTGAGTGTATATCCACACCGGGCGAGCTTGAAAAATATGCCCGGCCACGGTGGGATTCGAACCTACGACCTTTGGAATACTGGCCCAATGCTCTTCCAACTGAGCTACGCGGTCAGGACGGTTCGAGTAAGTGATATTTCGGAACAGAATCTGGTTCCTTCGATA